CATCTACATCTGCATCTACATCAACATCAAGATCTACATCTACTCAACAGCGAGACTCACATCTACATATACATCCACACCTACATCTACACCTACATATACATCTACACCTACATCCACACCTACATCTACATCTACATCTACATCTACATCTTCATGTTCGCATTGGTTTTGTTTTTGCTTTGCATTGCCTTTGCTTTTGTTATTGCCTTTGCTTTTGCCTTTGCCTTTGCTTTTGCTTTTGCTGTTGCTGTTGTTTTTGCTTTGCTTTTGTTTTTGCTGTTGCGTGGTGTTGCTTTTGCTTTGCGTGCGCACAGACACACACACACACACGCATGTCTTTCCATTCGTTCACCGGGTGTGCTTGAGAATGCTCCGGATCCGGCCTACACCGCACGACTTGGCATTGAGCAAGGTTGTGCAACATTTGCTACACCGAACGTTCCTACGAAACTGTACAGCAGCAGCGACTCCCAGATCGGTGCAACAAGTTGTTCAGCATTGTTTCGGCTGGCATCATCGGCGCTGGCCAGAGTGGTGCGACCACAACCTCCCCGCTGTCGTGGAGTCGCCCGAGCCACTCTTGGCGCGCAGGGACTGTGTCGAATAACCAGTAGTACACATATCGCCGTGACTGGTTTCCCTTCCGCAACTCGCAGATCTTGTAGCAGATACGCTGCAAGTTAACAATCGGCCGTCGCATTTGAGCAGGGATGTGCTCGCAGCCGATTTGCAAGAGGCGGTCACCGAAGTCGCCGTGATGCAGAATGCAAGCAAACACCTCGTTCGCTCTGCAGCTCTGGGTAGCACTGATCCCAAACGTTCCTCCGCATATCAACAGCGCTCTCTGGCACGATGCGCTCCCCGTTAAAGAGCAAGGCGTTGATGACTTTGCCTCCGCCCCAGGCTGTCGACCAGGACGTTCGCAGTAAGAGTTCCGCGTGGTCACCCCACTGAACCGGGAGTAGTCTCATAATCATGAGCAAGTAGAAGGGTCGTTGGAACGCGGTGATCTGGTACTTCGTGCACAAGTGCTGCAGCGTTCTGCCTGGTCCAGGTTGCGCAACACTAGGACCCGTGGTAGTGGTGTCGACGACTTCTCCTGGCACTGGCGCTGGCGCGGATGCTGCTGCTGAGCCCGGTTGAACAACCATGGTACTGGGGTCGGCACCTGCAATGATGGCCGCGACTTGCGGTGGGCCAGGCTGTGCAGCACTGGCCTTGCTCTCTGTGAATCCGAGTGGCATCGAATCATCAGTCGCCGGCGCCGCTGGTGAGAGACTGTTGGTGGCGGGGCGCATGGTTGATATGCGCCGCTTTTTACTCTGGCGGACCGGCTGCGCAGCACGGGTCTTCTCGCGCGAGCCTGGCAGGGCTACGCGGTACCTCTCAAATATTCGATGCAATTGCTTCTCGGGCTGGCCGGTACACTCCGCGACCGCGGTCTCTGTTGCCTGAGCAGCGGTGCAGCGCCATCGTTCCCACCGACACGTCCGCTGCATGGCCACCCCCTGATGCCATTGGCCCAAGCTATTTACGGGCCGTCCTTGGTAGTCTCTGCCGGCAAATGCTCCAGCACAACGCAGTAGTTTCTGTCCGACCTCTGAGGCACAAGCTCGGGCTGAATTTCGCATCGCGGTTGATATGGAGACCTCGCATGCAGAGCAAATCAGGGGCATCGCCGTCCTGCTACAGCGTTCAACAAGACACTGCAACACCGGTGTCGGTAGGTGGCGCGCTTGTAATGTTTGCAGCGCGTCAATGGAGTACGTGCGCGAAAACAGCCAGCATTTGCTTAGCGTGGCAAGTTGTTCAACTCTGCTGGCTGACATGACAGGCTGTTCAACCTTGCTGGCAGACATGGCAGGTTTTTCCATTCAGCTGGCAGACATCTTGCAACTCCATGGCCCCGCTGCCAGCATGATTGGCCATCTGAGTCACCGATGAGGCTGATCACGTCTAGCGCTCGAGGCACAAGGGCACCGGAATCCGGATGGGCATAGAATCCGGAAGAGACAAGGGGGGGACAAGCCCCCCGCCCAAACCGCGCAGGGCCCCCTGTGGCCCCGAAACGAATTTCGAATACAACATGCACAATCGGATGGGGAGTTGGCGGGGGATGCGGAGCGAGGCACATCTTGTCATGCATTTTGTCATGCCGCAATGCTCTGTCACGCCGCGGCGAACGCCATCCAGCGACCGCGGGCTGCGCAGCACCGCGGATGCGCCTTGCCGCGAGCAAACAGCCTCTCTCCTGCCCCTAGGAAGCGCGTGCAAGCAGGGGGCAACTACGTCTACATCATGACCATGCTGCACGTGGGTCTACCTGTTGGATGCTAACGAGGGACGGGTAGCGAGACACCACAGGCCATGCAGCACCGTGGATATGCAGCCCCGCCGCTACGAAGAATGAGCCGCTACGAAGAATGTCGCGGCCGTCGCGGGTCGCCATGGAAAGATGATGTGGGTGATGAACACGCGGTCGTGGTGAGGTCGTTAATCCATAAATTCTGGGTGCATCGCAGGGTCGGTGGCTCCCATGCCCACACCGCCGCGCCAAATCCCTTCGCCCCCCTGCATCGTGTTTGTCGCCGTCGTCGTCGAGTGGCTACTGCTGTAGAAGTTGTTGTGGCGCCGACCCATGATTCCCGGATGTGGCTGCAGGCTGCGCGGCATTGCTTGGGTGCGTCGCTCAAGAGAGTTCTGGCAGGAGGCCGCAGGCGCGCGCGGCCTCTCGTGCCAGCCCCCTCGTCGCCTCGATTTTTTCGCGGAAAAGTCGATCGAAGTAGGCGACGAGATCCTCGGGCGGACCCTGTTCTATGACGCCGCGGATCTGCCTCGTCAAATTCACGGACTTGAGGGTGGCAAGTGAGCGAGGCCGTGAGAGCATGACGTAGACGATCAGCCATCGGATGGCGTCGGAGCATCGCCGCAGGGAGAACCAGTAGGCCACCAGACCGGGATCTGCCGCAGTGCCCTGCATCGAGTAAAGCGAGACGGCCGCCGCCGGCATCAGCGGCATCTGTGCCCGTGAGACTATGACGTATTTGGTTTTCTCCGTGGGTGAGTAGCTGTGTTTGAGCGTGCGCGGCCTAGGCCAGATGGCCATGGCGCCAGGCTGTGCAGCACTGGTGCAGCGAGTGCACGTTGAGCTGCGCTCGGGATGCTCCGGACACATGGTTGGTGGCAAGGGCTGGAGATCGCAGTCATCAAGCTTCACGTAAATAGCCTTCGGCATGAGAGGACATGCGAATTCCGCGGTGTGCGAGGCGGATGGTGACCGAAGCTTGGTTTCCGTGGCGAGGTCGGCGGGGTCCAGGTCAAAACCGACAACAGTGCCCTCGACGTCCTGCACAGCAAAAGGTTGTTGGATCGTGGTCGTGAGCCGTACTCGCATGCCGTAATGGAAGAGCACCACCGGTGGAAGGCGCCTCGTTTTCTGGATGCTGGGTATCCGAAGTAAGTCCTCGTAGAACTGTGCCGCGTTCGTCTCTGGTATGACGGTTTAGGCTTGGTCCACGGCTTGCACGTAAAGTAGAGTTTGTCGGGCCTCACGGGCGGACTGCCGTGCGAGCATGAACGCGGCCATGCTGATGACGCTCCAGCAGTAGCACGAGTGGTACCACGACGCTGGGATGTCAGGCTGTTCAGCACTGATTTCGGTGTTCTTGAGGGCCTGCCACTGTTGCTCCGTGAGGGCCCTGCCGCCAGGCACCCGCACGGTGTTCAGAATGTCGATGAGTGCGTGGTCGGTGCAGCGCATGGCCTGCCTGTTGGAACTCGAACACCAAATCCGCGTCGCGGGAAATCTTGGCCCCGACTTTGCGCTCGTTCGCAGCGCCCTCAAGCGGTGCCAGCATGCTGGGCGAGGCTGGCGCCAGTGGTAGCTGCAAGTGGTCGCCAGAGTAGACCGCAACAGGTAAGCGCCCCCACCGCTCCTGAGGCTTGAAGCACACGTCCTTGTTCAAGCCGCATTTTGCTTCGCGGGCGCACGTGGTTCGTGGAGCCCCGGCGCGGTTGAGCTCGCCTTGTTGTTGCGAGTACTCGTCGACATGCAAGTCGCCTGCGTCGACGTGGGTGACGGCAGGTTTTTGGCGAGCCTGCGCGTTCAAGGCCAACGCGCGCGTTCGCATGGAGCTCTCGGACGCCAGCCCCCGGCCAGAGCGCGCGGCGCGACCGCCGATCAGTCGAGCGGGTTTGTTCGAAGGGGCACGTCGTAAGACCCCCTCGGGGTGGAAGAACGCCTCGAGCAAGGGCAGCAAGATCTCGGCGCTCAAGGTCGTCTTGCCGCAGCCACCCCCGCCGCCCATGATCATGGCCATTAGGGCGCGAGATGGATGGAGCCACGGTCTGCTCGGATCGGGGCGCTCGAGGAAGGCCTGCTCCAGGCGGGTCACGAAAAGGGCAATGCACTGGAGCTGCTCGTCGTTGAGTATGTAGGGCCGCGTCGGCGCGGAGCGTCGCTCCTGGCAGCGTCGAACGAGCATCTTGGCCACGTGTGCCGGGCCTCGTAAAGCGTCGGCCAAGTCAATCCACTCACATTTCCGCTGTTGCTGCTGCAGGTTGTGCAACGCTGCCTCCGGAATGAGGGAGTCGATGTCGTCGACGGGCATGTCGCCCTGCATGGTGGCGATGCGTTTCAGATGTTTCATGATGGCGTCTTGCATGTCGAGCGCGGCGGCGAGCCCGGCGAGGGGCGAGCCATAGCTTCCGTGGACCCGCGCCAGTTCCACGTCGTTCTCGGGCGACAGGCTGCGCAGCAATGCGCGGAAAAGGTCGTCAAAGGTTTTCATTTGTTTGAGCTCTTGGCTCTTCCGACCGGGTCTCTTGGCCGCTTCAAGTTATCTGGCTCGTGTCAAGATGCCGGTCAACTGCTTCGCGTTCAGGGCTCCGAAAAGTGGTGAGGAGCGTTCTGCGGTGTCGACCACCTCGTTCTCGGGCTCGTCCGCGTCGACGCCCTCGCCGCCATGGAACTCCGCCTCGACGGCGTGAAGTGTGTCCGTCGGTGGTGCCTCGAGGAGTTCGTCCTCGGCGTGCCCCCTGCAGCCCGTCGTAAGTTTCGTGGCGCGTGCAATGGCGAGGCCGTCAAGGTGCTGGATGACGCTCCGTAGGTGGTAGGCAGAGAACTCTGCCACGCTTAATTGGTGCTCGCAGTGGAGGGACCTGTTAAAAAAAGCGAGGACGCGGAGTGCGAAACAAGGCAGAGCATGCTGGATCCACCACTGAGAGAGGCAGCACAAGAGCTCGAGCGGAGGAGCACTCCCGGTGCCAGGACTGCTGGCACGGCACAAAGTCGTGTCTGCCCGCCAGGCCTTCCACTGCTGCCGGCACTTGAACGTGGCGGGATCCGCCGGTGGAAAGAAGGCTGGTCGGCGCAGCAAGGGGTCGTTGCAGCGGCTCTGTCCAGGGCAAGCAAGCAAAGTGCCCATAAGTGTCTCGCACATTGCATTGTCCTCGCCGTTGTTCATGCCCGGTGGTGAACAGCGGAGGGCCTCCAGCATCGGTAGTATGTAATGGCCTTGTGTTTTGAGTTGTTGCCAATGGGATTCGGCGAGCTCGCAGTGGTCGTCGAAGGCGAAAACGTGTTCGACCCGTTGGGTGTCCGCGAGCTGGGCCTCGACAGGTCGCGGGTTGCGAAGGACGCATGTCACGCAGGTGTGTAAGTCGAGATCAGCGAGGAAGGGGCCGCGATGCAGCCAGTCGTCATTAAAAACTCGTGGTGTTCGTGAGTGTTGCGATCTCGATGGAGTCCGTGAGATTATCCGGGTTCTCGCCCGCTTCTCGCACGGAGGGGTCGATGAACGGTGACGGTCCGGGAGGCGGTTCGGGGCGCCGTTGGTCGGGGGCCTCAGCCGCTTCGTCGTCGGGGGCCTCTGCCGCGGACCCGCCCTGAACGACCTCCTCCTCGCCCATGTCCGGCTCTTGGGCAACAGGCTGTTCAGCACTGTCTCGAGAGCCAGGGGAAGACGGAGCAGCAACTGCAGGCTGCGCAGCACTGCTTGAGGAAGCCGCAGCGGTGAAGGCGAGGACGTCCACCGCGCGGGCGTCGTCGCGTGAAAGATCCAGTACGTCCAGCAGTATCTCGTCGCCGCGTTGGAGGAGCCGTCGACGCTCCTGCAGCACGTACATCGGTCTGCTCAAGAAGACCGCGACGGGCACGTCAGTCTTCTGTGCGAGAGCACCGGCGGTGATGTAGCACGCAAGTTCCCAAACGGAGCACCAGGAGCATCGGTTCGCAGCCGTCGCAATCCGTAGTGTCGTCTTGCGCGCACGATCCTCGACGGATGGCTCGGCGTCCGCCGCGTCGTCTTCCTCCTCGAGGCGCCAGAGGCCAACGGCGATGTGTGTCAGCCAACTTTGGAGCTGTTCCATGGGTTGCCTTGGTATTTCGTGATATAAAAATTACAGTTGTGAGCAGCTTGATGCTTCGCCACTAGGGGGTGGAAGCACCGACGCAGCAGCGGTGCATCGGGCAGCTGCAACCGCGCGCCGTACATCGCGAGGGCAAGTTTCGGATCCGTCTTTGGAACGAGCAAAGCCTCGGTCGAGCTTGCGAAGAACTGCTCCGGATCCAAGGTGCGGGGCATGAATTGGAAGTCGATGTTGCAACGGCCCCACACTTGCCCCACGTCGGTCGTTGCCGATCGGAAGGGTGCGTGTCGAACAACGACGACCTTGCCGAACTCGCTGCGATCGTTGGCGCTGGCAACGTAGGCGGTCTCGACAAGTTTCTTGCCCCTGCGGCGCATGCGTTTCACACCGTTTTGAAGGGAGTCGGAGAGACATGTCACGATGCGAAAACAAGAAGAAACGGCATGCCGCGACGCGGCCTCTTCGCAGCGCCTCCTCGGCGGCCTCCTTGCACTTCTTCTTAACGCACTTGATACAAGTGCTCGTGCAACCGCGGTCGTGGTTGAGCTGGTGGAGTGCACGGAAATCACGACCGAAGCTCAAAGCGAAACTTCTTGCATCTGTGATCGGACCCTGGAAGCTTGCAGGCTGTCCAGCTCTGCCTTCCTCATCTGGGGGCGGAGCGACAGGCTGTTCAGCACTGCCATATTCACCTGGTGGACGCAGGAGGCCCGCTATGTGGTCGCTCTCCTCGTCGGCTTACCAGCTCAACGCCGTGATCGGCCTGGGTGTCTCTCGTCATACCAACCTCATCCAAGGGAGTGACGTTGCAAGCACTTTGTGGAAGACGATACGTGGGCATGAGGCTCTGGTGACAGCCTTGCACGGATACCTGTGAGTAGCGCGACAGCACTGGCCGCTGCTCCGCACGTTCCCGGCGGCGTTCCCGGACGTGGTGGCCGGGGAACTCCTGAGGTGTGGTCTCCAGGAGCTGTGTGCGGGTGCCGTCCAGCTCAAAGCCGCCGTCGAGCCGTGACTGAAGCTGTTGCTTCTTGGTGCTAAATTTCTCAGCCAGCACGGTTTGCCCCATCTGGGTGGCGGGCAGGGTCGAGGCCCCGTACTGCAACGACTCAGCGCGACTGATCGAGGCCTGCTTGAGCTCTTCGAGCAGGATGTGCAGCACTGCCGGATCTTGCTCCCGGAAGGGTCGCACGACGTGGTGCTCGCGGGTGGCCGGGATCTTGTAGACTTTGCGGTGACCATGCTGAAAGCCACGGGCTTGGGACTCGAAAGGTTCGAGTTCCGCGATGCCGAAGCCCCCGAGGCCGGGCATGCAAGGGGAAGGGAAACGGTCTTCTCGGAGGGTGTGACGGACAACGCGCTGCACGTGGTGCCTGCCAATGAAGGAGCCGTCGATCCCCATGCAGTAAATGTCCGCGACGTCGTCCATGAGCTTGAAGAACTGAACCTGCGCCCGCGGGGATTCCGCAATGAATTGCTGCATGCGGTGCAACGGTGGTATGTCAGGCTGCTCAGCACTGAGATCACACGCGATGTCGCGGATGACCTCTTCGCCGCTGCAAAGCTTGAAAAGAAGTGGTGCGTAGTTGTCGGCGAAATTGAACGCGACAAATACTGTCAAGAAACCAAACGCCACGTTCAAGTTATGGCCTTCATGTCGTAGGTTCCGTTTGTAGCCGTCTGTCAAAGGTGCGACTTTCGCGCTGGTGAGCACCTGTAGTAAGGCAGTGGCCAGTTCTTTGCAGACACGGTCGTCTCGTGCGAGCGCCTCGGTGCTCGCACTCCCTAAAGCCTCGCGGGCGAGGGCTTGGAGGCAATGTGCTGAAGCGGCGTTCGCAATGAGCCGCACATCCATCTTTCTGGAAGCTTTGTCGTCGGACGGCGGCGCGCGCGCCCTTGAAGAGAGCAAGGCGGCGCAAGGTGTCGCCGAAAACACAGACGTGTTCTGGCGCATCGAACCTGCTCTTGCGCCGTGCCCGGCACGGCGCCGGATCCTCGAGCTCCTCTCGGTGCAGGAGGGCGGCAAAGAGCTGCTCAAAGGTGACCTCGCGTGGTCGCCTTGAAACGTTCGGGAGGCCGTCGCCAAACCACCACTCGGATAAACATTTGGACCACGTCGTCGGGTCGAACATGCTCAAAGGCTTCTGTGAGGGCACGAAGAGGGCCTTGTCGCACTCGGCAGCCTTGTCTAGGAGAGCGAGGTTCCTCTTCCAATTGTGGGTGTTCAGCTGCCGGGCGGCCCCTCGCAAGTCCACGACGGCCCTGAAGCAGTGCTCCTCCGCAGCGGCTGTGGACGCGGCCAAGGAAGCTCGCTGTGCAGCACTGCTGTCGCTCTGTCCGCTCGGATTCCGGTTGGCGGAGGAATTGGAGGAGGCGACTAACTCCCGCGCGTGTTCCAAATTGTGTTTAAAGGCGGCCACGTGCTGCACGAACGTGGGCACGGCCGTAGGGTCCATGCCTATTGGGGCTTCGAACTGGCTGAGGTGCTCCACGTTTTGTGAGGCAGCGCTCGCTGTGCAGCGCGAGCTGGAACAGCCTCCCCTGACGCTGTCGCAGCGCGCTTGTCGTCGTCGCTCTCAGAAAGCTCGTCGGAGGCATCGTCCTCGGGGCGGGCCGCGTCCAAAGGATCGCGGACGGTGCCCGGCCCTGAGCGCGTCGCGCTGCAATGCTCGACCTCCGGCACCTGGACGGCGCAGTCCAGGAATTGCCGTGGCACGCGGTTGAGCGGGAGGGCATTTCACGGCGGCCTGGTCCACGGGAATCTCGGCGAAGATGGCGTTGACCCGGGCACGCTCCGCAGCGAGGGCCTTGTAGGCTTCGAGCTGCACGGTGAGGAGCTGACACTTGCGCAAGTCGTCAGTGTCCTGGCCGAAAATCACAACGAAACTGTCCTTCAAGTGCGCGGAGGACGGCGGTAGTGCCTCCGCGAGTGCGGCCGAAGCTTGCGAGATCAGGATGCGGTTGCCAGTGAATCCTGACTGCGGCGTCTCTTTTGTGGCCCTTTCCCAACAAGAATGTGCGGAAACATGCTCTTCCAAGGCCCGGCAGCATCCGTGGACCAGGGATGCGCTCTGAAGGGCCGTGCGCCCCCGACCAAGCCAGAGATCGTTTGCGAGGGCAAACGCGGGCATTTTGATGAACTTTTCTTCGGCGTACAAACAGACAGCACAATCGTGCCAAATGTGCGCTGTCTGGTCAGGATCGCCGATCCCAGCGCACATCGGTGCCCCGACATCGCGGACTGCAGGCTGTTCAGCGCTGCCCGGCTGGCCCTTTTGGTGCACAGGCTGCGCAGCGCTGCTGGGGCGACCCTGCCGGCTGTCAGGTAGGAGCGGCGCGCGTCGGGCGCGTAGCAACCATACCATGGAATGGTCTGAAGGTTGCAGCACAGAAGAGGCGAGGAACTCGGCCTTCGGGATCAACGGCCATCGGCCCATGCACCCATCCGTGGACAAGTGCCCGTTGATTTTGTCACGGCTCCCGAAGCAAAGGGTGTCGCCGCAGGTGAGGAACGTCAAGGTTCCGCTGCCTGCGTGCAGGAGCTGCGTTAATGTCCGTTTATCGGTGGCCCCCCGCCAAAGGTACACGGGATAACGGTTCCCAAGCCAATCTTTCCGTGCACAAGCGACGCAAGCCACCTCGCATTTCGTCTGTGCCACGGCGATGGCTTCTGGGTGGTTCCAATGGAGCGACAAGAAACCAGGCACCGAGAACGTCAAGTGGAAGGTGGCGGACTGAAAGACGTGCTGCTTGACCCAGGGCAACAGGGGCTTGAAACCATCCCGTTGCGCTCGCCACAGGAGCCTCTTGCGATGCTCCACGCAACCGCCGTGGGCGTCGGAGCAGCGCTTGAAGAAGGCGCCGTTGCGCCTGAACCCTTCGCAGCAAATCCAGCACATGACCGGTGGCGAGGCCACGGGAAGCATGAGGTCTGGTGCTCCGACAGGCTGTGCACCACTGCTGGATGCCGATGACGAGACAGGCTGTGCAGCACTGTCTGCGAGGCGGGTGAAGTAGGCCGGGAGTCGGTTCGCCGCGAGTTCCACATCCGCACCACGCGCGTCCTGGGGTGTGTAGCGTTTGCCACAGTCGCCCTTGAAGTTGGCGAGAAGCCGTAGGGTAGGCCCAAAGCGTAGAATGAATGCCTTTGGAGGCTTCTGCGAAGTGAGCAAGAGGCGAAATAATGTGCACGTCGCTAAAGTGTGTTTTGAGAGTGGTGTGGCCGTGATCCCGTGTTGCTGAGCATACAAGAAGAAATCTTCCGTGGCGGTGTTGAAGAGCTCGCGGAGTGGTGCGCGTCGCGGCGGCGTGCCTCTGGGATCTTGAGTGCCTTCAGCAGCCAGTCCTGCTTCAAGTGATGTGCGTAAGGATCGCTGTAGAACTGCTGCAGCCCCTCGCAGACCTCAGGGACGGTAGGGGTGGAATGTCGCCGCTCTGAGGCTGTCTGTGCATAGGACGCGCGGCGCTCTGCGATGACGTTCTGCAGGGCTGTGGCCGCGCGGCGCGTGCTCAGTAGCACATGGAAAGGGACGTCTGGTAGCTCCAATGCTGCCAGCATCGTCAAAGAGTACCACGCGGCATTGAAGAGCTTCTCGTTCGGGTCGTGGCGTCCGAACGGTGCGGTGGGCAGCGTCTCGGCCTCGTTCAGGCGTGTGTGGAGCTCCTGTGCGGCGCGGGGTGGTGCGCGCTGCGTTGTGGCGGTGGCCTCGTGGAGCTTCGTGAAGAACGGGAAAGTTTCCTCGTCCAGTGGCCCTCGTGTGGCGAGGTAAGTTTGGATTGCGGACACAAGGGGCCGGCATGCAACGGCAGTGACCGTTTTGCAATCTCTTCTGCGGCCTCTGCACGGTTGTCTCCAGAGCTGAAGTGTGCCACAATGTATGTTGTAGAGAGTACGGATCTCTGCTGGTTTGAGTATCCTTCCACTGGCAGGTATGCCTTGCAACTGATTCGCCTGTCTAAGCAACTTCGTAAGTGCTTCGCCGCCGTCGTCGTCTGCAGCCGTCTGGCGGCGTTTGAGTCGTCAGAGCCCCTGCGCCTTTTGGACCATGGCTCGTCGCAGCTCTGCAAGATCATCGGCGCTCGAGCCATACTGAAGGATGCTGCGTTGAATGTGTTCGGGTCGCGCTGCAAGTGGAGGGGGTGGCGCTGCTGCTGCTGCTGCTGGCGTTGGTGCTGTTGCTGCTGCAACAGGTTGTGCGGTACTGCGATTGGTGGCGACATCTCCCTGCAAGCTGCTGATCCCTGCGGCGATGGCTGCAAGCCGCTGCTGCTTCGTCGGTGGGCCGGGCTGTGCAGCACTGGCGTTGCTCTCCATGGCTCCGGCAGCACCGGCAGAACTGTCGGAGTTTGGCGGGTGGCCCCGCAGAATGTTCACGATGGAGTTGTCTCGCTGCCGCTTGGTCGGTATGCCAGGCTGCGCAGCACTCGCCTGCGCATCGGTGTGTGGCGACCGTGTCGAGCTGGAGCTCGCTCTTGCCCCCCGTGGTTGGCTCTCTGCTGTGGAGAGCAAGCCCGCGCGGCGACCCTGACTGCTCCTTGGACCAGGCTGTGCAGCACTGGACTCGTCACGGGGGCGTGGTGCTTCACGCGCTGCTGCTGCGGTTTCGTCACTGCCTTGGAGTGCCGCGCCGACTACTGCTGAGGCGGAGCCCGACGAGGCTCTTCCCCGGGGCACTTTGTCTTCGCGGCCACGCTGCGCAGCACTAACGCTGTGGAAAGGTCGTTTACCTGTGCTCCCAGCGACAGCAGGCTGTTCAGCACTGCTCGCGGCTCCATCAAGTGCTGCAGGCTGTTCAGCACTGCTTGCACTGGGATCAACACTGCTCGCGGCTCCTGCAAGAGCTGCAGGCTGTTCAGCACTGCTTGCGGGGGCTCCGGTCTGGCCATCGAGGCTAGCTCGGAGCCTGCTGCCTTCGGTGATGACCGCCTGCTGCAACTCTGTGATCAAAGTCGCTAGTGGTCGGCGTCGTCTCTGATCTTTCTGTCGCACATTCCATGAAGAGCAGAGAGGGGGCACCTCTTCCCGTCGAGGGTTGGGCGTCTTCGTGAGCACCGAAACTGCCGTACGCAGTTTTTGAAAGTCTGGCGCGTTGCACGCAGCACCTTGCGCAGTCAACCACCGATTCACGGCCGCGACGGAATTGAACATCTCTGCACGTTGTTCAACACTGCTTGGAACATTGTTCTCTGCAGGATGCTCAACACTGCTTGCTGGGTCTCGTGCCTCGCCACTCGAGGTCCGTAAGCATGCCCGCATGACGCAATGCACTGCTGCGCGCTCTTGCGTGGCTCTGCGAGTCACGGAGTTGAGGCGGAACGGCAACGAGGATGAAAGGCATTGCGACGCGGTGCTGAACCAATACATGCACTCACACGCACACACACACATGCAGCATTCTATACATATATGTGCGCATGTGTAGAAAGACATTAAGGACATGCGATAATACGTCGGGCTTCATGTCTCCCGGCCGGTGCTCTGTGCGAAACCTTCGTGAATCCTAAGGGCTCAAGCTGCCCCACTATGGGCTCAAAATGGCCCACAGACGGACAACATGCATGGAACATACGTGCGCACACACACGTATAAGTATATATAACAGCAGCAATCGTGGATGCTGTGCTGCGCTATGCTATGCTCGTCTCTGCTATGCTATGTTGTGCTATGCTATGTTGCGCAATGCTATGCTGGGCTAGGCTAGGCTAGGCTATGCTATGCTATGCTTTGCTGCGCTATGCTATGCTGCGCTATGCGATGCTATGCTGTGCTATGCTATGCTATGCGTTTGACTTGCCTTCGCTTTTGCCTTCACTTTTGCCTTTGCTTATGCTTTTGCTTGGCACCCAGGGAGCGTCACTGGGGGAACCGCGCGTTTTCTTTTACCTTTGCTGTTGCTTTTGCTTGCTCCCAGGGGACCGGGGGAACCGCCCGGGGCGCGTAGCACTGCCCAGCTCTTCAAGCAATGACAGTAAGAACCCTTCTAGGCAGAGCCTAGGTAGGGAAAAATACGATTGAAAAAACATAGTCCGGGGTTTTTGTGTATTTTTCGCCATGTGGGGAATACCTTTTGAGTATGTTTTATTTTGTCAAAAAAAATCCACCTGTAGGGAAACACGCCCGATTTAACCATAAACATAAACTTTTGGCGTTCCGCGCGGATTTCTTGGATCCGCGCTGGGCCCCCCAGGCGGCGCTTCCAGCGCCGCACCTGGCGCGCTCCGCGCGCCAGGGAAGGGGGTCCGGCGCAGATCCGAGGCACCCGCGCGGAGCGCCAAAAGTTTCTGCCTGCGCCGTTCTTTCCTCCTCCAGTTGCGGCTGGCTGCCGAGGAGGAGGAGGAGGAGGAGGAGGAGGAGGAGGAGGAGGAGGAGGAGGGGATGAGGAGGGGAGGAAGGGGGGAGGGAGGAGGAGGGAGGAAGGAGGAGCGAGGAGGAGGAGGAGGAGGAGGAGGAGGAGGAGGAGGAGGAGGGGGAGGTTGCCGCTCTGCTGGGGCACGCTGTTCGCGCGGGCTCCCGCAGTGCTCGGCCGTCGCCGTGCCGAGCACTGTGGAGCCCCTCGGGCCCCGCTCCGCTTCCTCCAGCTCCAGGGGGGGGGAGGTCGGTGCCCGGTGCACGCCGGCCGCTGAAAGTAGGTATTCCGCGACCTCCTCGCGTCGCGAAAAAATCACGGCGGGAGGTTTTTCGCAATTTTCGGCCTCTGGAGGTCCTCGCCGGGCCTCGGGGCCGTCAAAAAACGACTCAGGATGCAAAACCGGCCCCAGGGAAAGGGTCCAGACCTCTGGGGGTCGACGTCGTGAAAAAATCACGACGTCGGGGGTCTGGGTTGTTGGATTCCCAGATCCCAATCTGCTTCAAGCGCCGTCCTACTTCAAGAATCGGCGCGCGTCTGCCGTGTTTTGTCAGTCTCCGGGGGGGGCCTGGACCCAATCCACTTCATCCGCCTTCCTACTTCATGTTTTGACCTACTTCTTCCGACCGACGTGTACCGATGCACTTGTGTCGTCTCCGCCTCGTTGAGCCTCTTCGGGGGTCCCTTTCCGCCCGCTGCCACGGCAGGGTTCGCCTCGAAATCTTGGTCACATCGCACCGTGGGAGAGTCCCGGGTGGTCTACCTGTATCGGTAGCGAAGACGCCTACGTCGAATCACCGCCGCCCCCTGCCGTTTGGATTCGCCCATGCGGCCGAACGTTGTGGCCAGAGCTCTGCCAAGCTATCCGACCATGTGTTCCCCTGGCCGTTGTGGAAACCCTTCAGAGAATACGCGGGGGAGAAAGAAGAAGCGGAGGAGAGGGGGGACAAATAGAGAGGAGGAGGCGGAGGAGGAGGAAGATGAGGAGGAGGAAGAAGAGGAGGCGGAGGAGGCTGAGGAGGAGGAGGAGGAGGAGGGGGAGGAGGAAGAGGAGGAGGAAGAGGATGAGGAGGAGTACTTTTGGGGCCTTCTGGGAGCTTCTTGTGGGCCTCTCGGAGGCCTTCTGGAAGCCTCCTTGGGCCTCTTAGGGGCCTTCTTGGGCTTCTTGGGGCCCTCTCCGGCCGTCTTAGGGCATTCCTGGCCCGTCTGACGCCGTCGGAAGCCGTCTTGGTGGCCTGTCAGGACCGACTTGAGGCCCTCTTTCTTCTGCCTCTCCTCCCCCTTCTCCCCCTCCTTCCTCCTTCTCCTCCTCCCCCTCCTCCTCATCGTCCTCCTCCTCCTCCTCCTCCTCCTCCTCCTCCTGTCCGCCCCAGGGCCTCTTCCGCTGTCAAGCAAGTGTCCTGCCACGCCTGCCACCGACTAGAAGAGCCTGTCTGACACCACGACATCGTCCGTCAACCAGCGCTGGTTGCCCCAAACGCTGGCCGCCTGCTGGAGGCTCTCTTTGTAGTTTTGGTGTCTGCCGTCCTGCTGGTGGCCTACCAGTGGTGGTGGTGGCCAGGGACGCGGCCCGTGGCGTGCCTCTGATGGTGATTCTTGGGCTCCTCCTCCTCCTCATCCTCGCCCCCCCTCCCCCTCCTCTCCTCCTCCTCCTCCTCCTCCTCCACTCCTCAACTACACTTCCTCCTCCCCCTTCCTCCTCCTTCCTCCTCCTCCTCCTCTCCCCTCCTCCGCCTCCTCCTCCTCCTCCTCTCCTCCCTCCTCCTCCCCTTCCCCTCCTCCTCCTCCTCCTCCTCCTCCTCCTCCCTTCTCTTTCTCCTCCTCCTCCTCCTCCTCCTCTTCCTCCTCTCCTCCTCCTCCTCCTCCTCCTCCGTGCGCCTCCTCGGAAGCTCCTCCTTCCTCCTCCTCCCTCCTCCTCCTCCCCTCCTCCGCCCTCTCTCCTCTCCTCCTCCTCCTCGCTCCTCCTCCCTTCCTCTCCTCCTCCTCCCTCCTCCTCCTCCTCCTACTCCTCCTCCCCCTCCCCCTCACCCCTCCCCCTCACTCCTCCTCCGTCCTCCTCCTCCCTCCTTCCTCCTCCTCCTTCCCCTCCTCCTCCTCACTCCTCCTCCTCCTCTCTCCTCCCTCCTCTTAACTCCTCCTCCTCCTCCTCCCTCCTCCTCCTCCTTCTCCCTCCTCATCCTCCTCCTCCTCCTCCTCCTCCCCTTCCCCCCGCCCCTCCTCTCCCTCCTCCTCCTCCTCCTCTTTCCTCCTCCTCCTCCTCCCTCCTCCTCCCTCCCTCCTCCGCCTCCTCCCCCTTCCCCTCCTCCTCCTCCTCCTCTTCCTCCTTCCTCGACTCCAATCCTCTCCTCCTCCCTCCTCCCCTCCTCCTCTTCTTCTTTTCCTACCTCATCCTCCTCCTCCTCTCCTCCTCCCCTCCTCCTACCTCCTCCTCCTCCTCCCCCCCCTTCTCTCCCGTCCTCCTCCTCCCTCCTCCTCCTCCCTCCTCCCTCCGCTTCCTCCTCCTCCTCTTCCTCCTCCTTTCCTCCTCCTCTCCCTCCGCCTTTTCCTCCTCCTCTCCTCCTCCGTCTCCTCCTCTTCCTCCCCTCTCCTCCTCCTCCTCCCTCCTCCTCCTCCTCCTCTTCCTCCTCCGTCTCCTCCTCCTCCTCCTCCTCCTCCTCCTCCTCCTCCTGGCCTCCTCCTCTTCCTCCTCCGTCTCCTCCTCCTCCTCCTCCTCCTCCTCCTCCTCCTCCTGGCGCATCTGCGCCCCAGTCTTGGCCGATCGGCCTGGCCGCCGCCGCTCGTCGGTCTCTGTTGGCTCTCGCCTCGGGTGGCCTTTCGACGTCCGCCCGACCTCGTCGCGGCGCCTCGGGGGCCTCGTTCCCGCAGGGAGTGCAGCACCTTGGCCACGGCATCCAGAGCTGCCCTCCCCTGTCCACCGTGTTGCTGCACCGATCTTGGCAGGATGAACCGTAGCGTCAAGAGGCCGGCATGTAGTGCAGCACAACGATTACCGATTCAGGCCATACGCAGTGGTTTCAGGAGCGTGCGAGTCTGGGTGTGAACGGGTCTAAATCCGAGTGCGACAAGTGGAATCGACAACACATGCGTCCGCCAGCGGAAGCGCCTGCCACCGCCCGACTCCTGCACACGAGAACCAGCGAGCACTGTAAGCCCCTGACCCTGGTCTCCGAGTCGGACGGGGACACCCTCCAGCACACGACGCGAAAATGGAAAACCAACATCTGCCAAGCCAGCCCCCTAGGCTGGGCAGGTCCAAAGGAGGAGGAGGAGGAGGAGGAGGAGGAGGAGGAGGAGGAACAAGAGCTAAGATGCGGAGGAAAACAACTGGGGGCACCTCCCGTAGGTACAGTGCTGGCCCCGCCCCAGTCCTGCACACCAGCGCCGGCGAGAGCTCGGCAGGAGGAGAAGGAGGAGCAGGAGGAAGAAGAACACAACTAACTAGCAGGCGCCAACATGCAGGCGGAGAGGGAGGGCGGCAAAGGCAGCAAGGCAGCAGGGGCGGGCGGGGGGCGGAGGGGGCGAGTGACGTCGGTGGAAGTCGTGGGCCGCCGTGGGTCGTCGTGGTTCAAGGGGCGAACGCGCATCGAATGCGGGGTGCAACCAACACGCCGAATCGGTGGGGAAGGTGGGGAGCGAAAACTGCAAGTACCTAATCCCGCAAGGGCGTGGAGTAGGCGCGCAACTTGTCGAGGTGAGGTGAAGGGAACCAGCCCTGTACCATGAGACGTAGCTAGACAAGAGCACCGAACAAGTAGGAGACCACAGTAAGACGACATTTGGGCGGCTGCAAGTTGTGGGTGCGGGTGGCGAGCGCAGTGGCAGTCGCAGTACGATGTCCCTCAGGGGGGGGTCCCTGCCGTGCGGCCAAAACGGCCGCAAGCATAACGTTGCGGGTAGCACCTCGCTTAGCCTGACCTAGCCGCAGACGAGTAAAATTACTCCGACGGAAGGACCCCGCATGAGAATATGTTTGGCTTGCCCTTACCCTTTTCTTCCTCCTCGCCCTGACGGACACTCTCCTCTCGCCTGCCGTTCTGCCCTCACCTGCTCCTTCTCCTTCTATTTCTCCTCCTCCTCCTCCTCATCATCATCATAATCATCATCATCATCATCATCATCATCATCATCATCACCCCTTCCCTACCCTTCCCCGTCCTCCTTCCCCTGCTTCTTCTCCGCGCGCTCCTCCCCTTCCCCTTGGTCGGGGCAAGCAAATCGATGTTCCTCGGCGCCGTCGCCGCCGCGGCCAGAGCGCGCGTATTCCCCGACGGCTGGTTCGCGAAGCCTTTGGGACAACCCCGCGGGCCGCTGGGGCACGGGGGCAAGCGGTCGGGACAGCCCCGCGGGCCAAACCGTTGGGACAACCCCGCGGGCTTCGAGCGGGGCGCAGCCGCGCTTAGGCAGGAGGCAGCATGAACCTTAGTTTGGTTCACAGTTCACTCACAGACGAGGCTCCCGCTTGATACTTTCTACACATTCAAGCCTGGGGAGCCCAAAAGTGACGACAGTTACAGGTTGCCGATGACCCGCTCGGGTTACCAACATGAAGTGCGGGACCAATAGGGAGGGGGCTCCCGCCTGAGACTTCCTCACAATTCACTCACAGACGATGCTCCCGCGTGATATTTCCCCCACATTCAAGCAGGTTGCCGATGAACCGCTCAGATTACCAACACGAAGCGCGGGACCCAAAGGGGGGTGGGCGCTTGAGACACCCTCACAATTCACTCACAGACGATGCTCCCGCTTGATACCTCCTCCAAATTCAAGTTTTGGGGGGGGCACAGTTACAGGTTGCCGATGACCCGCTCGGATTACCCACATGAAATGCGGGACCCATAAGGAGGGGGTTCCCGCTTGAGACATCCGCACAATTCACTCACAGACGATGCTCCCGCGTGATACTTCCTCCAAACCCAGGCTTGCGGAGCCCAGAAGTGACGACGGTTACAGGTTGCTGATGATTCATGACCCGCTCGGGTTACCAACATGAACTGCGGGACCAATAGGGGGGGGGGCTCCCGCCTGAGACTTCCTCACAATTCACTCACAGACGAGGCTCCCGCTTGATACTTTCTACACATTCAAGCCTGGGGAGCCCAAAAGTGACGACAGTTACAGGTTGCCGATGACCCGCTCGGGTTACCAACATGAAGTGCGGGACCAATAGGGAGGGGGCTCCCGCCTGAGACTTACTCGGGTGGCATAAGCGAGTGACGGTGATGAGTGAGTGAGTGGGTGAGTGAGTGAGTGAGTGGGTGGGTGGGTGGGTGGTGGGTGTGTGATGATGGTGATGATGATGATGATGATGCCGAGTGCGATGAGGAGGATGATGATTTTGGTGATGGTGATGATGGTGAAACGGAGAGTGAGAGAGAGTGATGATGATGATGAGGAGGAGGAGGAGGAGACATCCTGCGCGGAGGGTGTGCAGCGAAAACCAGAACCCCACCTAGGAGTGGGGAACAACACCAATGCAGTGTAAAACATCTAGTGTGGGTGCTACGCTGCTGGTGGAAGTAGAGGGGAGCAGGCGCGCTCTACCAATGCGCGAGACCAGTCGGGCGCCTACTTAGGCACTTGGGTTGCGAGGGCCTTGCGCGATAGTGAAGAAGAAGAGGGAGACTCTTCGGGGGGGAAGACTGGAGTGGTGCGTAGCGTTTGTGTTGGCTGGGATATGCGAGGTGTTGGGCTGTGCGAACGAGCTGCGCTGGCGCTGCACTGTCTGGTCGAGCTGATGCGGAGCACGTAAAGCGGCCTAGTATAGATCGAAGTCCTTCCCGTATCAGCCCCTCCCCCTCCGTCTAAGGTTGCGGCGTGGTTGGCAATGGTCTTGAAAGGCTTAGCGCTTGTAGGCCGGCGCTGGTCTTGAATGGCCAGACGTGTGTGAATCTGCTGGTTAGCATGCATTCTAAGTCTCCTTGGCAGATCAAGCCTTCTGCTCAGCCTCCCTTCCACCGTCTTCTCGTCCGCCTCATCATGTTCCTCCTCCTCTTGCTGTTCCTCCTGCTCTTCCTCCTCTGGTTCATCCTCGTCCTGATCATCCTCCTTTTGTTGTTGCTTTTCCTCTCCATCCTCCTGCTCACCATCCACACCCTCATCACCATCCGCCCTTCTTCTCCTCATCTTCCTCGTGATGTTCCCGACCACTATCCCCATCCTCTCGTGCGTCCTGCTCGTCCTGCCTCTGCTGCTGGTCCGCTTCCCCCCCTCCCTCTCCCCCCCCCCCGCTTCCCTCCTTCGGGGCGAAGGAGGAGAGACGAAGGAGGAGGCGACGAGGGAGGGACGAAGGAGGAGGGACGAAGGTGGAGGCGACGAGGGAGGGAGGGCCGAAGGAGGAGGCGATGAGGCTAGGACGAGGATAAAACAGTTCCAGAGCGTTATGGGACGGCTCTCGGAGAAGGCCACTGCACCCGATACACCTTCCAGAGCTGCCAGATCTCAGAGATTCTTGATCTACCCTCATTCGAATGTGTCTTCGTCCTGGCTTCGTCTCACTCCCGCTCCTCAACTTCCCACTGTTTCTGCAATACCTCCCCCCTTCCTCCTGATCTTCGCCCACATCATCTGACTCGTTCCTACTCCTCCTGCCGCGTCTCCCTGCCTGGTGGGGGTTGGGGGTGGGGATGGGGGTGGTGGTGATGGTGGTGGTGGTGGTGGTGGCGTTGGTGGTGGTGGTGGTGGCGGTGGTGGTGGTGGTGGCGGTGGCGGTGGCGGTGGTGGTGGTGCGGTGCTTAAGCTTCTTCTCCTTCCTTCGTGCCTCCTCGTGTTCACGCCTTCGTTTCGCCTGCCCTCCTCTTTACTCTGCTCAGCCACTGCCCGTCTGCCAGTGCGTGCCTCGTGCCACCGCGCTTGGTTTTCCATGCGTGCCCCCCCCATCTCCAGCTCAGCGCCCCAGCCTCCCCGCTGCACCCTCAATGCGCCGCGCTTCGGCGAGCACTGCAGCGTCCGCCCGTGAGTCCGTCCACCTCCCTCTCCTTGTCCTCATCCTATTGGGTTGGTCTCCTCTCTCTTCTCTTCTCCCCCCTTCTCCTATGTCTCTCTGCTCTCTCCGCCTGTCCACTATCCTCTCTGAGCCTCTCCATGTCGCTGCTCGCTTCCTCCTCCTCCTCCTCCTCCTCCTCCTTGTACCTCGTGCGGCCGCAAAAGTCGACCAGGATGCGCGATGGCAATTGGCGTCGCCAGGCCGCAACAGTCGGCCTTCGCGCGGCCGCAAGAGTCGGCCAGCTTTCGCGTTCTCTCTTATCCCACCGCTCCTGCTCTGAATTCGCCGCCGAGCTTGGAGGCGAGGGTTTGCGCGCTGGAGGTGCTCTCCGAACAGTCCTCTTGGGGAGCCGCTGCCCCGTCTCTGACACCGCCCTCTCCAGACCCTGCTCCTCCACCTCCCCCGCCTCATCCTCCCCCAACCCCCTCCACCTCAGTCCTCCACACCATCCGCCACCTCGCCCGCTCAGGCGCCAGACCTAGACATCCGGCTTCTCCAATATTTCTTGGGAGCGTGGACCTATAGGGAGGTCCGGACCACTTCCCCGTGACCGGTTCTTCGTCCCGAGTCGTTTCGTGACACGCTCTCGCGAGGCCCGGCGAGGGCCACCGGAGGCCGAACTCGCAGCCAGAATCCCGCCGCCCCGAGTTTTGTTGTAGCGTCGGACCTCGGGGGAGGTCAGAGCCGCATCCGGGCCCCCGCGACCTCCTCGCGTCGTGAAAAAATCACGACGGGAGGTTTTTCACAATTTTCGGCCTCCGTGGGCCCTCACCAGGCCTCGGGAGCGTCAAAAAACGACTCGGGATGCAAAGCCGACGTTGTGAAAAAATCACGACGTCGGGTCTGGGCCCCGCGCCGAGGCCCTGTGGTGGGACGACCGGTCTCGCCAGCGGGCGGCCTCGCCAGCGGGCGGCCTCTCCCGGTCGGCTCCGCTGGCCGCCGGCTCGGCCTCCGTCGGGTTCGCAGGCGGTCCTCGCCGCCCTGCGCGCCTCTGCGAAGCGCTGAGCCTCCGCCCCCTCGACCCGCCCACCCGTCCTGGCCACAGAGGCGGAGCTGCGCACTCGTCGCCGCTGCGCCCACCGCCGCCGCGGGCGGGTCGGTCGCACGGACCCGGTCGGGCGCGAGAGCGAGCGAGCGGGCGGGCTGGCATGCTGGCGCCCGAGCTTGCGGACCCAGACGCCCGACGTCGTGACTTCTGCACAACGCCCACCCCCGGACCCGGGACCGGCTCTTCCTCCCGAGGCGTTTTTTGGCGGTCCCGAGGCCCGGGACGGGCCCCCGGAGGCCGAAAACGGCGCGAAACCTCCCGTCGCGATTTCTTCACGACGCGAGGGGAGGGCCCCGCGGAGGCCGAAAACAGCGAAGAACCTCCCGTCGTGTTTTTTTCACGGCGCGAGGGGGTCTGGGGAAACGTCCTCCTCCTCCTCCTCCTCCTCCTCCTCCTCCTCCTCCTCCTCCTGCTCCTCCTCCTCCTCCTCCTCTCCTCCTCCTCTCCTCCTCCTCCTCCTCCTCCTCCTCCTCTTGGATCCTCCTCCTCCTCCTCCTCCTCCTCCTCCTCGATCCCCCTCCTCGATCCTCCTCCTCGATCCTCCTCCTCGATCCTCCTCCTCCTCCTCGATCCTCCTCCTCGACCGACGGCCGAAGCGAGCGGGCGGACCCTCGCGGGCGGGTCTGGGCGGGCGGACCCCGCCGGGCGGGGCGTTCGTCCCACGGGCGGGGCGGCCTGCGGCGGAGCCTGGCAGGCGAGCCGGGCGGGCGGGCTTGCAGATACCCGAACTTGCGGACCGATCGATATGTCCATATACAGATATATATATATATATATGTATAGATGTATATATGAATGTATACATATATATACACATGTGTATATATGTGCATGTGTGTATGCACGTGTGTATATGTACATAGATACACACATATAAATATGTATACAAGAATACACCTCTATATATGTGTGCATATATATATATATATGTATATATATGTGTACATATGTGTATATATATATATATATATATATATATTATATACATGTATAAGCATATATATATATGCACAAACATATATACATGTGTATATATATATATATATATATGTATATACATATATATATATAGAGAGAGATGGGCGGGTTGGGCGGGGCAGCAACACGGGCGGGTTTGCTGCCGACCTCCTTCTGCGGACCTCGACGGGCGAGCCGGGCGCGCGGCCCAGACCCCCTCGCGTCGTGAAAAAATCACGACGGGAGGTGCTTCGCTGTTTGAAGGGCCTCCGGGGGCCCTTCCCCGGGCCTCGGGACCGTGAACAAAATCACGACGGGGGGTTTGTCGCCGTTTTCGGCCTCCGGGGGCCCCTCCCGGGCCTCGGGACTGAAAAAATCACGACGGGAGGTTTGTCGCCGTTTTCGGCCTCCGGAGGCCCCTCCCGGGCCTCGGGACCGTCAACCAACGATTCGGGAGGAAGAACCGGTCCCGGGGAAGGGGTCGGGACCTCTGGCGGTGGGCGTTGTGCAGAAGTCACGACGTCGGGGGTCTGGGCCCGCAGGTTCGGGCGCCAGCATGCCAGCTCGCGAGGGTCCGCCCGCTCGCTTCGGCCGTCGGTCGAGGAGGAGGATCGAGGAGGAGGAGGATCGAGGAGGAGGATCGGGCGCAGCGGCGACGAGTGCGCAGCTCCGCCTCTGTGGCCAGTCTGATCGATGTCGACGCACGAGATGCCCAAGGATGCTCCGAGCCAGAGTCTGCACGAGCCACTGCAATGCAGAAAGTGCTTTTTCGCGGGAGAAGATGAGGGAGGCGGAACAGGAGGAGGAGGAGGAGGAGGAGGAGGTCCAGAGGGAAGAAGGGCCAGAGGTGAGGAAGGGTAATGATTGGGAGGAGGAGTGGCATTGTTCATCCAGTCTGCAGCGGCAGCATGGAGAACCATGTCTCGGTTAGCGCCACGTGTCCCATGGCTTTCCCCGAAGGTTCCCTTGTCAGGCTTTGCCCGAAGCGCCCGCAGACGTTTACGCAAGGGGGCTGGCGGCCGGGCGATGTTGTACCCTGGCCAGTCTCTTGTGGTGCTCGTATGGGATAATCTTGGGGTTGACAAGGGCGATCGGTTGTTCCTGATGTTAAAAATGGAACAAAAAAAGAGCGGCCAGGACATGACATGCACACTTTGCTGCTGCGCACCTGGCGCGCGGAGCCTTGGGAGCACTCTTGGGCCACTTTGGAGGCAATCGATCACATATGAGGGGAATGTTCATTTGTATTGCCCTTCAAAAACTTCCCGGCAATGCTCGACGACGTCATTCTTAAGATAAACCACGAGGGGGTTTGGAATAACAGTTACGCACACTAAAATTATCCCGGCAAAGCAACCTAACAGCCATGTGTACCAGCATACCTGGAAGCATTCCCCTTAAGATTCAAATGATAATCCAGTTGTAGAATTCTGCTGTTCTCGCAGTCGTAGTCGCATTCGCGATGACAGTCGCAGTGGCAACGGCAGTCGCAGTCACAGCCTCAGCCTCAGCCTGCCTCAGCCTCAGCCTCAGCCTGCCTCAGCCTCAGCCTGCCTCAGCCTCAGCCTCAGCCTGCTTCAGCCTCAGCCTCAGTCTGCCTTCAGCCTCGGCCTCAGCCTCAGCCTGCCTCAGCCTCAGCCTGCATCAGCCTCAGCCTCAGCCTCAGCCTGCCTCAGCATCAGCCTGCCTCAGCCTCAGCCTCAGCCTGCCTCAGCCTCAGCCTCAGCCTGCTTCAGCCTCAGCCTCAGTCTGCCTTCAGCCTCGGCCTCAGCCTCAGGCTGCCTCAGCCTCAGCCTGCATCAGCCTCAGCCTCAGCCTCAGCCTGCCTCAGCATCAGCCTGCCTCAGCCTCAGCCTCAGCCTGCCTCAGCCTCAGCCTCAGCCTCAGCCTTCAGCCTTGGCGCCTGCAGCCTCGCCTCAGCCTCAGCCTGCCTCAGCATCAGCCTGCCTCAGCCTCAGCCTCAGCCTGCCTCAGCATTCAAAATGTGGCCCGGAGAACTCGAAGAACACGAAGTGGCCTACAGTTGGCTCCGGGCATTCAAAATCATTCAAAATCATGCCCAGGAATGGAGTTCTGGGAACTCGAAGACCACGAAGTGGCCTACAGTTGGCTCCGGGCATTCAAATCATGCCCAGGAATGGAGTTCTGGGAACTCGAAGACCACGAAGTAGCCTACAGTTGGCTCCGGGCATTCAAATCATGCCCAGGAACGGAATTCTGGGAACTCGAAGACCACGAAGTGCGTTACAGTTGGCTAAAAAAGGAATCCCCGGTTTTCCGCGGCACCCGCCCGGATCCCGCCCAGCCCCCCTGGGGAGTCATGATGCTCTCTCTCTCTCTCTCTTTCTCTCTCTCTCTCTCTCTCTCTCTCTTTTGACCCTACTAGAAGCCTATCAGTCTTCGCTGTTAGGTAATGTTGTTTCGAAGCCGAAACCTCTGACGCATTGCATGCAGTGGCGAACAAAAGGACAAAAGCGACATCCCGTTAGTCATCCGAGACGTCATATTCATGTAATCGTTCATGGCGAAACTTAAATCCAATTCCCGCATTCGGGCGATATTGTGCGGTAGCACCGTCCGACGTTTGCTGGCCCCAACTCTTGCACGTCAATTCTATCAACACAGCAAGTTCCGAATACAGACCAAACGTTGAATCACAAACCACGCCCGACGAACCGCGCGCACCGAATCACAAACAACACACATTGAATCACAGATTGCGCGCGGCGAATCACAAACAATAATATTGCATCACAAACCGCATGCAACGAATCGTAAACAACGTACAAAGAATCACAGACTGCACGGGACAATCACAAACCGCACAATTTGAATCACAGATTGCACACGACGAATCATATACTGTGAGACCAATCACAAAACCACACGTACCGAATCACAAATCATTCATCCGAATGCAAGCAGCGCAGATTATCGGAAACCGCTGGGAGAAATGATCGCAATGGATTATATGATTGGACAGAGATTTTCATATCCGATCATTGTTTTCGGTAATGACAGACCTGAGTTTCTATAACAGCGAACTTAGGTTTGCATAGTTGCGGACCACAATTTCCATATAATTGCACACAGACTTGCGTTTTTACAATTGATATGTTGGGGGGGACCCGATTTTCCACTTTTGCGGATTTGCCCCCCCATAAATTTCTCATTTTCCGGTTTTATCAAGAAATCGTTGTTTGTTGTTTATTGTAGTAAAAATACGTACATGTATCACGGACGGTGTTGGCGACAATTACAATGCCAATATCTCCACACAACCGGTCTCATATCCACTGTCATGCCCCGAATTTGCTGGACAATAATGTATTGCGAATCTGGGACATGACATGGAACCTGAAACACACAATCACGGTGGCAACCTTTGCGCCGCCGCATGCGTGGCGGCGCTGGGCTGCTTGCGCCAATAATGCAAATTGACTACCTACCAGACCACCCCAACCCAACCCGAAGAGCCGCATCTGACCCGACTTTCGGGTGGGGGGGGGGCACGGGTTCCATGTGTTTTTTCAATGTTCCCCGATCCCCCCCCCACTGGAAATGGAGGGAAAATTGAGGCCTTCGGACTGGGTTGGGGTCGTTTGGTGGGTGCTGACAAATGTGGACGGCCCCTGCGCCGCCGCGCGCGCGGAGGCGCAGGGTCGCCCCCTGCGGAAAAGAAGTAGCGGGCACGGCCTCTGCGCCACCGCGCGCGCCCGACGGCGTCGCGCCCTCCTCTTCCTCTTCCTCCTCCTCCTCCTCCTCCACCTCCTTCTCCTCCTCCTCCTCCTCTTCCTCCCCCTCCTCCTCCTCCTCCACCTCCTTCTCCTCCTCCTTCTCCTCCTCCTCCTCCTCCTCCTCCTCCTCCTCCCCCTCCTCCTCCCTCCTCCTCCTCCTCCTCCTCCTGGGGTTGCTCGTGGAGAGGCAACGGGAGCAGCCTCTGCGACGCCGCGCGCGCACGGCAGCATTGGGCCGGCTTGCGTAGTTCGACGTCAAGCCGTCTTGTCAATCTTGGCATTGCCGCAGTGAGGTTTACATACCAGGCGTGCGACAACGTCTCGCGGAAATGCAGACCTATTGTAGGCTACCTTTGCGTAAACGCGGCTACGTTCTACGGGCGTTGGCTTGCCCGATCTTTTTGGCAGTAGATTAACGCAAGCTCGTTTCAGTGCACCATATAATCAGGTGATCTGTTTCGCATGTCATTAAAACTAGTTTACGCAAGTCGATTGCGGCATTTGCCCAGACGTGTTAGACCGCCGTTTGCCATGAAACCCTAGGACACGCCCTCACAGTTCAAATTTCAAGATGGAAGTCAGGGTGGGCCCACGGTGCAACGAAAATTTGGGTCAGACATTTCGCGCGTCAAGAGCACGTTGACGCGAGAATGGGCGAACCAAGAGCCACGGCGACGAGCAATTAAGACGGCCCTCCTGATGCCCCTGCGGGCCCCCTACAGACCTGACCCCCTCAAACATTCCGAACGCACGCGCCGAACGCAGAAGCAGCCCTCATGTTTTTCTCCTCCTTTCCTGGTCGTCCTCCCTCAGCCTTCCCCCTCGTCCCTTGGTCCCCTTTTTCATTCTTTTTCACGTTCATCTGTTTTGAATGTGTTTTTCAATTCGAGGCCGATAACGGTTGTAATCTGTGGGCACCACAACGCTTGTGTACACCATACCGCTTATGTTCACGTCAGCAACCGCGTGCAACGCAACGTCAGCGTGTACCATAATGCCCGCCCGCATGCACCACAACGCTTGTGTACATCACAACGCTTGCGTACACCACAACGCTTGCGTACACCACAACGCTTGCACTTATCACACCACCCGCGTGAAACGCAATACCAATATACACCAAGTGCTGCGCATATAATGGCATTTGCGTGCAAGCATTGTGATGTACACCCGCGCTGCGTTGCACACGGATGCTGTGTTGTACACAAACGCTGGGGTATGCAAATTGCGGTGCACGCAAGCATTGTGGTGTACACAAACATTGTGTTGCAAATTGTTGTTGTTTCCTTCTTCCTCTTTTTCCTCCTCTCTTCCCTCTTAGAATTCCAGCGTGAAGGCTGGGCGCACGGAACAACCCGGACTAGAAGTTTTCTTTAACGGGATTGCCAAATCACCAGAGCAACAATCCGTTCAACCAGCTCAACCGGATCACCACATCCATTGGCCAGAACACCAGATCCCCGGATCATTGGATCAATTGGCCACAACACTAAGTACTAGGTCACCGGATCACATGACCCCATCACAGAATCAGCCGGATCACCGGAACAATTTCGCCACAACGAGGGATCATTGGATCAGTTGGCCACAACCCTGGATCACCAGATCATCACATCACCAAATCAGTTGGCCAGATCAGCCGGATCACCGATCAACCGGATCACCAGATCAGTTGGCCACAATACCATGCCACCAGATCACCGGATCAGCTAACCCGACCACTGAATCAGTTGGATCAATTGGCCACAACATGGGGTCATCTGATCACCGGATCAGCTGGCTGGATCAGCCAAATCACCGGATCAGCCGGATCACCGGATCAATTGGCCGTAACACCACATCATTGGCTTACCGGATCAGTTAACTGGATCAGCCGGATTTGCCGGATCACCGGATCAGTTGGCCTCAACACCGGGTCACGAGGTCACCAGATCAGCTGGCCGGATCACTGGATCAACCGGATCATCGAAAAAGTAAGCCGTCTTGGATGGGAGAGTACAAGAAGAAGGCGGCCGGAGTCTGTGACTCGGCCGGCGGAGTCTCTGTTTAAGCGGGCGGAGTCTGATTCAGCAGGCAGAATTGCTGATTCGGCGGGCAGAGTCTTTGATTTGGCGGGCAGAGTCTTGATTCGGCGCGCGGAGTCTCTGATTCGGCGCGCGGAGTCTCTGATTCCGCGCGCGGAGTCTTTGATTCGGCGCGCGGAATTTCGGATTCGGCGTGGGGGGTCTCTGATCTGACGCGCGGAATCTCTGTTTCGGCGTACGGAGCCTCTGATTTGGCGTGCGGAGTCTCTGATTCAGTGTGTGTTGTTCGTGATTCAGCACGCGCTGTCTGTCATTCGGCGCGCGCCGTTTGCGATTCAACCTTCGGTCTGTGATTCGGAACCTCCAACCAACAACGTCTCTGAACAATAATTTCGCCGATTAGTTTCGAGATCCCGGTGCAGAACAGATGCGGCCATTCACTTGTTTCAGTACATGTCTGACAACGACCCAAATAAGATCATATTTGGAGAGATCGCATGTTTGAAGAGCTATCGGGAAATAGTTCGTTGCATAGCCAACTCCACTTTGTAAAACAATGCCATGGTGTACGATCTTGGTTCAAATGGAAGAACGACGCCGGGCAGGCGCAACATGTATTTCAAACCGACGGGGGAGAACCAGCCCACGACGCATTCGGGCCAGCTTGCCTCCGGGAGCAGAAGTCATAACGCACCTCGATGACATTTACATTATTTGTCACTCGTGCGAAGCATCAACAAGTTATGACAACGCGAAGGCTGTCCTAACGGAGGTCTGTCACACACCATCACAGAGAATTCGGCAACACTGAGTAAACATGCGAATTCTTGTCCAGACGGCTTGCGCGACAGCGCACCCACAGCACAGGTTCACGACAAACCAGACGAACAACGAGCCATCCGCCTGCCAGGCGTAACCTCTGGCGGCCGTCAACGACGACTCCACGTCGATCCAGGAGATGATCGAGAGCGTGGCGGGGTGGATCACGAACAACATCAAGGCGTCCGCGTGCGACATCCCGCTGAAGGACCTCGAAATGGTGGTGACCTTCGCCCGCGACTCCGCGACGATCCAGGAGATGTTCCAGCTCACGGCGGACCAGATCTCGAACAATATCAAGGCCCCCGAGTACGACATCCCCCTGAAGGATCTCAAAATGGCGGTGGTCTTCGCCAGCAACTCCACGACGATCCAGGAGGGGTTGAAGCGCGCGGCGGAGTGGATCCCGGACAACATCAAGGCGTCCGTGAGCGACATCCCGCTGGAGGGCCTCAAGATGGTGGTGGCCTTCGCCAGCAACTCCGCGAGGATCCAGGAGATGTTCGAGAGCACGGCGGAGTGGATCGCGAACAGCATCATGGCGTCCGTCGCCGGCAACTCCACGGCGACCCAGGAGATGTTCAGGCTCGTGGCGGAGTGGACCCCGAACTGCATCAAGGCCCCCCTGCACAACATCCCGCTGAACGACATCAAGGCCTCGGTCGTCGCCGCCGGCAACTCCACGACGATCCAGGAGGGGCTGAAGCGCGCGGCGGAGTGGATCCCGGACAGCATCAAGGCGTCCGTGAGCAACGTCCCGCTGAAGGACTTCAAGATGGCGTTGGCCTTCGCCAGCAACTCCGCGAGGATCCAGGAGATGTTCGAGAGCATGGCGGAGTGGATCCCGAACAGCATCAAGGCGGCCGTCGCCGGCACCGCCGCGGCGATCCAGGAGATGCCCAGGCTCGTGGCGGAGTGGACCCCACACCATCAAGGCCCCCCTGTACAACATCCCGCTGAACAACATCAAGGCCTCCGAGTACGACCTCACGCTGAAGGATCTAAAGATGGCGGTGGTCTCCGCCGCCGGCAACTTCACGACGATCCAAGAGGGGTTGAAGTGCGTGACGGAGTGGACCCCGGACAGCATCAAGGCGTCCGTGAGCGACATCCCGCTGAAGGACCTTAAGATGGCGGTGGCCTTCGCCAGCAACTCCGCGAGGACCCAGGAGAGGTTCGAGAGCATGGCGGAGTGGATCCCGAACAGCATCAAGGCGTCCGTCGCCGGCAACTCCACGGCGATCCAGGAGATGTCCTGGCTCGTGGCGGAGCGGGCCCCGAACAGCATCAAGGCCCCCCTGCGCAAGACAAAGGCAAGGGGAAGGAGAAGGGGAAGGACAAGAACAAAGGGAAGGCTGCGCGGCCCAGCAAGGTCAAGGGCAAGGGCAAGAAGGGCGCCGACGACGCGGCCGCCCGGGCGCGCGAGATTCCCTATCGCCACGGATGCGGTCGAGGAGGACTTCCCGCGGAAGGACCGCATCCTCGGGGAGAGGAGACGGAACGCGGACCACGCGCAGAGGGAGACGGGCGCGAAGTTGCGGTTGACTGGCAAGGGCACCGGCGACAGCGACGCGCCTCTCACGTTGTCCAACGCTGCGTCGGGCGCGGTCGGCGACACCGAGTTCGACAAGGCGGTGGAGTTGCGCGAAGACCTGCTCGAGCCCATCTACGAAGAGGCCGCCGGCTGGGCCGGCGCGGACGAGGACGCCGAGCCCGGCAAGGGCGCGAAGGGCAAGGGGAAGTCGAAGAAGGGCAAGTCCGACGGCAAAGGGAAGGACAAGGGCAAGGAGAAGGGCAAGGGCAAGAGGCTCCACGGCGAAACGCTCGAAACGCACCGTGCCGGGCCGTGCCCGACGAAATTCTCTGGCGGGCGCTGCGTTGGAGATTTTCAGGCTCGTGGTGGAGTGGACCCCGAACGGCATCAAGGCCTCCCTGTACAACACCCCGCTGAAGGGCGTCAAGATGGCGTCCGCCGACGACGACTCCACGGCGACCCAGGAGATGTTCGAGAGCGTGGCGTAGTGGATCACGAGCAACATCAAGGCGTCCGTGTGCGACATCCCGCTGAAGGAACTCGACGTGGTGGTGGCCTCCGCCAGCAACTCCACGACGATCCAGGAGATGTTCGAGCTCGTGGCGGACCAGACCCCGAACAACATCAAGGCCTCCGAGCACAACATCCCGCTGAAGGACCCCGGCATGGCGGTGGCCCTCGCCAGCACCTCCACGACGACCCAGGAGACGTTCAGGCTCGCGGCGGACCAGGTCCCGAACAACATCAAGGCCTTCGAGTACAACTTCCCTCTGAAGGACCCCGACATTGTGGTGGCCCTCGTCAGCAACTCCACGACGATCCAGGAAATGTTCGAGCTCGTGGCGAACCAGGTTCCGAACAACATCAAGGCCTCCGTGTACAACATCCCGCTGCAGGACCTCAAGATGGCGGCCGTCGACGACGATTCCACGGCGACCCAGGTGATGGCCCAGGTGGCGGCCTCTTGGCGGCGGTGGTCAGCAGCGCTGGGCCTTAAGGAGAACAGGAGCAAGGAGCAGTTCGGCCACCGCACGAAGGCGGGGCGACGGCAGCTGAGGGCCCAGGCAGGGTTCACAGAAGCCACGGTGCTGGCGCAGCCACTGCTGCTGGGGCGCCACTTCCAGCCCTCCCAACGGCGCCGCAAGGCCCCCAAGGAGGAGGCGAGGCTGGCAGCGGCGCAGGCAAGGATGCGGAGGCTGGCGATCATCCCGCGGTCGGGGCTGGCCAAGCGACGCTTTGCAGCAGGCACTATGGCCGTCGCCTTGCGGGGCTGGGTGGCCCGGCCGCCCAACCAGGCAGACGTGGACAGGCTCGGCGCCGCCGCGCGACGAGCTCTGAGGGCGGCCAGAAGAGGCTCCCCGCACCTCTTCGAGATGCTCGTCGGCCACTCGGCGTCGGCGTCGCATCGGATGATGGAGGCGCCAGTCGCGGCAGCGGCCCGGAGGGCGCTGAAGACCCGAGCTGTCGCGGGGCGCTGGGGCCCCCCAGGCTGGCCCAAAACGACCCGGACGCTCCTCCGGAGGGAAGGCTGGCAGGAGCTGGAGGAGACGCCGCTGTCTGAGGAAGAGGAGGGCGAGGAGGAAGAGGCAGGTAGCCCCGAGGTTCCGCCGGAGAAAGGATGGAGGTGGACCCGCCCAGGCACCGGCGGGGCGGTCAGCCTGCGGCCAGAAGACGCCGTGTCGGTGAGCAAGCTGAAGCATGACCTCCGCGAGGGGTGGCGCGCGCACCGGTTCGCACAGTGGCGGCGCTCGACGCGCAACGATGCCGAATTCTGCCGCGGCGCAGTCCAGTGCGACAGTCTACGACTGAAAGAAGCGCAGAAGCACCTGCAGAGGCAGCCTGCCATCTTGCCCGTGCTCACGGGCGCCGCGATGAGCTGTGCGGCGTGGCAGTCGGCCCGCAGGGAGGAGATCGCGTGTCCGGCCTGTGGCCTGGAAGGCGGCGGACACCTCATCCACCTCGCGTGGGACTGCCCGGGGGCCTCCGGGGCCGCCCACCGCAGACGGCCGCCACGGCCAGCAGACCCGATGCAGGCGCGGCTGGGGTGGCCCATCCGAGAGGACCCAGGCTACTCGATCAACGTGCTGGACTGGCACCTGCAGGTCCGGCAGGGCCTCATCCACCATAGGTGGGGCGATCCAGAGCAGGCAAAAGGCCAGGGAGGAGGCGGAGGCAGGAAGGGGGGGCTGCACCTGTCCGCAACGACGACAACACAGGAGGACAGGGAGGAGGCAGGAGGCCAAGGAGGAGGAGGCGGAGGCTGGCGGGAGGCGCAGCAGCGGCCCGCCACAACAGCAATACTGGAAGAAAGGGAGGAGGCAGAAGGCCAAGGAGGAGGCCGAGGCAGCATGGAGGAGGAGATGCAGCCCGCTGTGGAGGAGGGTGAGGAGGAGGAGGTCGCCCGGCGAGGGCCTGCAGGAAGACCCGGCGCGCCAGTGCCCAAGGTAAGGAGGAGGGCAGGAGGCGGTGGGGGGCGCGGCCGCGGCGAGCGGCCCAGGAAGCGGCAGCGCACGGCAGCCGGAGCAGTGGAAGGGCACTTTTGAGTGCTAATCGGGGCTTTGTATGCACCCGGGTGCTGAACCTGTTCCTTATCCGCTTGAGTTTTTGTGCTTATCAGTTTACTATAGTTCGGTGCTCGCGCTGGTTCCAGGGGATGCGCCTAAATTTCGTTACACGCGGCGATCCAGGTGATGTTCGAGAGCGTTGCGGAGTGGATCCCGAACAACATCAAGGCGTCTTTCGCCAGCGACTCCGCGACGATCCAGGAGATGTTCAAGAGCGTGGCGAAGCGAACCCCAAACAACATCAAGGCCCCCCTGTGCGACACCCCGCTGAAGAACCTCAAGATGGCAGCCCTGGCCAACGGCTACACGGCGATCCAGGAGATGTTCGAGGGCGTGGCGGAGCGGATCCCGAACAACATGAGGGCGTCCTTCGCCAGCAACTCCACGACGATCCAGGAGACTTTCAGGCGCGTGGCGAATTGACTCCCGAACAACATCAAGGCCTCCCTGTACGACATCCCGGCGAAGGACCTCAGGATGGCGGCCTTCGCCGACACTTCCGCGGCGATCCAGGAGATGCTCGAGCACGTGGTGGAGTGGATCCTGATCAACATCACGGCCTCCCTGTGCGACATCCCGCTGGAGGGACCCGAGACGGCGGCCTCGGCCAGCATGTCCGCGGCAATCCAGGTGATGCTCAAGCATGTGGCGGAGTGGATCTCGAGCAGCTCCACTGCGATCCAAGAGATGTCCGAGAGCGAGGCAGTGCGAATCCCGAACAACATCAAGGCCCCCGTGTGCGACATCCCGCGGAAGGGACTCATCCCGTTCCCGTGTCTGCGTTTCTTAGTTAGTGCACAGGTGTGTTTTGGATGTTCGCTTGATCACGATCTCCACCTAGGCACTCATTTCCGCTGGGCGCACCTGGACGCCAGGCATAATGCCAGCGCAGCACTGCACGACTGCAGCCTCTGCGGGGGCCGCACGACTGGCACGCATGCACAAAGTCTTGCCATCCCGGCACCTGATTCGGAGGGCGAGTCCGAGGGCTTCAGACCTCTGAGCCCCCCCCCCCTTTGTCCTTCTCTCCCTTGTACAGCCCCCCCCCCGCCCATGCCCCTCTGCTGGGCAAGCCGCGGCTCTTCGCCGCGAAGACGGCATTGCTGGCGCAGGCACTGCCAGTCCCGCTGTCGCGCTGCTGGGGACCGTGCGCGGAGAGGAGAAGAAAAAAAAAAGAAAAACCCTGCGGGCAATATGGGGCGCTGCTGCTCCGGGCGGAGCCCGCCGGGTCGGCAGCCCCATGGTCCTGAAAATCGGCCTTTTGCTGCGCATAGCGATGCAGAGGAGAGAGACAGAGGAGCGTAACGTGGCAGGCCTCCACGGCACAGCTTCCCTCGTGGTTGCCCCCGACCTGGACGGGGGCCGGTTTCACCGCAGCGCCAGGCCTCGGCCTTAATACCCCCGCGCCACCTCTTATGGGGCAGAGGTGCGCCAATACCCATGCGCTGCGCACTAGACAGCCCACGCTGGTCTCGCGGGACCCTTCTGGACAGTGGATAGTGGCTGGAATAACCCCCCCTCCGTGTCCCCCCTTATTTCAGTCCCCGCGGGCCGTGGATCCGTTTCTGTTCCCCCTCTGGGACACCTACTTTGGACGATTGGGGATGCCGGCCATAGGCCCACCCCACGCACTCCACCTGGCTCCAACGCTTTCACCTCGCGTTCTTCCCCCCGACGATGCTGCTCGGGGCAGCGACGACGAGGCCCCCCGCAATGGTCCGGCGCTCTGCTCCACCCGAGGTCGCCGCGGACCCGCCACAGCTCAGGGTGGTGGGAGCACAGTGACCAAGTCTTCGCTATGTCAGCATTGACGCCACCCCTCCCTCTCCTCTTTTCATTTACTGGATTGTGCGGCTATCGGCTGCGACTCCTCCTCTCCTCCTCCTCCTCCTCCTGCTAACTCGGCGACTCACGATTTACCCCCACCGAGGCTCCACTGGAGCACTCGGGCACGTTGCTGCTTGGGACAGTGACAGCGAGGTCCCCCGAAGTGGTCCGACGCGCTGTTCCCCCCGCGGTCGCCGTGGTCCCACCGCAACTCTGGGTGGAGGGACCGCAGAGGCCATGGTCCTGGCGTGGTCAGCTCTGACGCCCCCCTCCCTCTCCTCCTTTCATTCACTGGATTGTGCGGCTATCGGCTGCGACTCCTCCTCTCCTCCTCCTCTTTGGCTGACTCGACGACACACGAAGTCCCCCCACCGGGGCTCCACCGGTGCACTCGGACATGTTGCAACGGGAGGCCCATTGGCATTGCTCCGAGGTGCGGTCTTGCCGCGAGGCTACCCGGTGTCGTTTCGGATGTTTCGGGCCTTGGCAGTCCCCCCGTCTGTGCGACTCCCGCCCCTGGTGCGGGCGTGGTTCGCCAATGTGGCCAGGGTGCGGCTCCTGGTACCTGTTCCTGGGTCGCGGCTGGATGCAACCCCGGCGCGCCACCCCGCCCTGCACCACCTGGGGCCGGACCTGGGGAGAGTGCGGCACTGACAAGTGGTACATCTTGTGCTCGACTGCCGACGGACTCCCATCTGGTCCCTCCAACCGACGCTCGCCGCTTTGCCCCCCCGTCCATCGTGATGGATAAGCTGCCCGCGTTGTTCGCCGATGACTTGGTCCGCCCTTCGGTGGGTGCCACCCTCGAGCTGGACTGCACAAGTGGTTCATATTTTGGCAATGTTCCAGACCTCCTGCAGGGTGGTCCAGGGTGCTCGGCCACGCCTGCTATCGTTCCCCCCCGACCCTCGGGGTCCGGCAGTCGCAGGTTTTCTGACTCCACGATTGGGTTGGTCCGTGCATAAGGCGATCGCTGTGCCCGACCACGCTCAGGAGTCATGTGAGTGAGGCGTTGTTCGGTTCTCCCTCTTCTGCCCTTGCGTTCTCTCGCGCCGGCCGCCCTTCCCCACTCTTTCGCCTCGTCGTGTTTATCGGAGCGGCCTCTCGGGCCCCCCCGTGCTGCCACAGCGCAGCGTGCCGCGCGCCTGTACGCGCCGGTCAGCACGGTTCGAGTTGGCGCCATTGTGCGACTTCTCGGCTGTCTAGCTCCGTCTGGTGCTTGCGCCCCTGCTCCTGGGTCGCTCGCATCTTAAATGGGGGGCATTTTGCCTCGTGCACGTGCATTTGCGTCGTCGGCCTACGTGCCGTCGTCGCCAATTATCTCGTTTGCACCCCAACCGAGCCCGTCCCGCTTCCTGGAGCTGTCCTTGGAGCCGTCAATCAAAAAAGTATCCCCACCTGTTGAGTTGCCGCGTGAGGCCCCGGTTAGCCGCTTTAGGTGTGGCCTGCCTCCGCTGCTTTAGTATGATTCGTCGCTGCGTGGCCCGCTTTGACTGGACTCGTCGCCGGCACGCTCGCCCGCGGCCGCTGACTAAAAAGTAGCCCCATCAGCTTGACTCGCGCGCCCAGTCGCGGGCTCCTGGCCCCAGGTTGCCTCAGCCCTCGGCTGTCTGCGACCCCACTCAGTCCCTCGCGTTTGTGGCGCTCCTTCTGGTTCCGTGGGGTCGGGTGAGGCACCCCGGCGTTCAGGTGACGTGCGCGTTGATCGGGGGCCTTTAGACGGGGGTCAATTCAAACGGGGGTCAGCCAGAGCGCCAGATCTTGCAGGAACCTGCGAACTGGCTGACCCGGCTTAGCGAGCCGCTCGTGACCGCGAGGCGGCCGCGCATTTTGGCTGACCCGGGTTTGCGAAGACCTGCGTTGCAGTGTTTTTGCTCCTGCATTGCAGTTTTTTGGTTTCCTGCTGACCCGGGTCTGGATTGACCCGGGTCAGAAGATCCCCGAGGAGTGCCGAAAGTTTGCGTCTATGGTGTTCTTTTGTTCCTCTGATATTGGCTCCGAGCTGCAGGGTAGTCGCGCCGCAGTCGCTCTTGCGCCTTCCCCTGATCAGCTACCGGGCGAGCATCCAGAACATGAGAGCCCAGGTGCTTGTGGACATGGGTTCTAACAGGCGCGAGGAGCTTGGATTGACCCGGGTCGGAAGATCACCGATTTGACCAGTTCCGGCTCGAGTGCCTGCGCTTCCCTGGCCTGTGGTCTCCGCTCACCGCCACAGCCCGGCTGCGTCTGCCGCTGCCGCTGGTCTGATGGGACTGCGGCCCGCTGGCTCCTCCTCCTCGTCCTCCTCCTCCCCCTCCTCCTCTTCCACTCTCCTCCTCCTCGTCCTCCTCCTCCTCTTCCTCCTCGTCCTCTTCCTCCTCCTCGTCCTCCTCCTCGTCCTCCTCCTCCTCCTCTTCCTCCTCCTCTTCCTCCTAGCCATTTCCAGGTCTCTGGAGAGAAACCTTTTGGGTCGCGCTCTTGGAAGTGGCGCAGCGGCCCAGAGCCTTTCACCACGACTCTACGCATCGGTCCTCCCCGATGCCGCCCCCCAAGGCCGATGGGCAGCCCGGCGCGCCGCCGCTGCGCCAGTGGCAGTGCTCGGGCTCCTGCGGGGGGCACAAGAATCGGGGCTGGAGGACCTCGTGCCAGATCTGCGGGCGGGCCGCTCCGCCCTGGGCGCTGGCAGCCCTCGCGCGCCGTGGGACGCAGGAGCCAGCGTTCAGGTCTGCTCCGCCTCCTGGCGGCATGTGGGGCCGCGGGCCGCCGGGCTCCGACATGGACCAGGACTCGGGCAAAGTTATCAAGGAGGCGGTCGAGCAGGCCAAGAAGGAGCTGCAGCAGGAGCCCCGGCAGGCGCTGCTGGGCGACCCGCTGCTCGGGCTCTCCGAGGTACAGCAGCGGGCCATCACCCTCAAGATGGGCGGGGCGCAGGCCGAGGAGGTGGAGAAGCCTGCCGACCTCCGCTCGAAGACGCTTCAGGATCTGCTCCAGCGGGTCAAGAAGCGCGAGAAGCAGGTGGTCAACACCACTGAGCGCGTTCGCGAGGCGCGTGAGGCCGCAGATGCGGCGGCCAAGGCGCTGCGGGACGAGGAGGCGCTCCTGGCTCGGCACCAAGCGTCTCTCAAGGAGCTCAAGCAGATCGTCAAGGATAAGGAGATCGCGGAGGCCGTCCCGGTGCTGGGGCAGACGGCCGCTACCCTCGGCCTGGCTGGCGTCGACCAGGCGCTGGCTGTCATCCACCAGCTGTCCGAGACGCTGTCGCAATTCGAGGCCATGCCCGGGCTGGCAACCTTCGCCGGGCAGCTCCGCACGTCCGTCACCGAGCAGCGGCAGGGGATCGCGCAGCAGCAGCAGCAAGCTCAGGTCGCCGAGGCTGCACGAGAGGAGGCAGAGGCCAAGCTGGCCGCTGACCGGGGTGCTGCTGCTGCTGCTGCTCCTGCTGCTGGCGCGGAGCCTGGTGGCGGCGAAGCCATGGCGGTCGACGGCGGCGGACTCGACGTCGACCTTGACGACCCCGACCTGGCCAGCAAGCTCAAAGAGGCCGGCCTCGGGGAGTTCGACCTCTCCCAGGAGGCCGACAGGGAGAAGGTCAAGAGGGCCCAGGCTGTGCTGCTCGCCGCTGCCAAGAAGCCGCGGCTGGGGTAGCCCGGCCATCGCGAGCGGGAGCTCGCCGCGGGTCTCGGACCTCGATATCCTCACGGCGAACGTTACGGCGTGGTCTTCAGGCCAGGACCTGCTGGTGGCGCGCTTGGCTGCTGGTGCAGCTTCGGTGGCCCACGGCACCCAGTGCGGGAGAGTTGGAGGCGGCGGGGGTGCGCCCACCGCGCCCCACGTGGTGTTGCTGCAGGAACACCGCCTCAAGGAGCCGCGCCTGGTGGACTCGGCCAGGAAGTGGGCCTCGCAGGGGGGCCTGAATTCGGTCTTCGGCCACGCGGAGTCTACTGGCGGCAAGGCGAACCAGTCGTCCAGCGGGGTTGCCGTGCTCAGCTCCTTGCCGCTGCTGGATGGCTTTGGTGCGCTGCAGGAGGCCCTGCCGCGCAGCCGCTTCCAGGTCGGGGTGGTGAGCACTGGCCTGGGGGTGCCGGTTTACTTCATCAGCCTGTACCTCACGACGAAGGTCGGGCTGACGGAGCCGAACCTCACACACCTCGAGAGGCTCCTGGGGGGGATCGCAGGTCTCCAAGGGCCTTGGGTGGTGGGAGGCGACTGGAACCTGGAGCCCGCGGAGGTCCAGGAGTGGGCTCGTCTAGCCCAGGGCGTCGCGGTGGCACCCGATATCCCTTCCTGCGAGGGGCGAGTCTTAGACTTCTTCGTGGTGTCCCGTGTGCTGGGGAACTTCGTTCGCAGCGTGGATGTGGTCGACGGGACGGCCATCCGCACGCATGTGCCAGTAATGTTGCGGCTTCATGGGCTCCACGCTGAAGCCAAGGTGACGAGGGCTGTACTCCCCACGGCCTACCCCATCGTGCTTCCGCCGCCCACGCGCCCTGCCCCGCCGGAGGTCGGCGACAGCGCGTGGCCCTGGGAGGCAGGAGGCTTCCCTTCCGACCTTCATGCCGCGACGCTGGCCCGGTTTCAGAGGGCAGAGGCTTACCTCTCCTGCCTGCACGGCTCTGGCAGCCGTAAGGAGGGCCGCTGCCATGGCCTCCGGGAGCAGCGGGCCCCCTTCGTCACGGAGTGGCAGAGCCAGCTCAAGGCGCGCACTTCGGCCGAGTACCGCTGCTGGGCTGGACTCTTGGCGGCCTGCCAGCGCGCGTGCTCCTTGCAGGCCATAATGCGCAGCAGGAGGTGGTCGAGGTATTCGGCACTCAACCGGCAGCTGAAGGTCATCAACTCGTTCGTCATCGAAGATGGTTGGTGGCCGCAGTCAGGGGCTCTGGCCAACATGTCCGTGGAGAAGATGCTGAAGGTGTTCGGCAGCGACTCGGCCTCCGCCTCGTCGTACCTCCTGCGGGTCATGGATGACCACGTGCTGAGCCTGAGGAGGCGGGACCAGCACCAGCAGCGGGCCCTATGGCAAGCCTGGGCCAAGGAGGCGGCGTCCGCCAAGGGGGGGCAGCAGGCCTATGCCTATGTGCGGGCGGCCCAGGTGCGGCCCACCGTCATCGAGGCCCACGACGACGAATCGGGCCTTGTCCTCCCACTCGGGGGAGATGAGGCCATGGATTACCTCATGAGGCAGTGGGGGCCGCTGTGGGTCAACCCCGATCGATCAGATGAGGGATATCCTCGGGACTGGGCGGGCCAGGAGTTCGACGCCTCCATCCTTCCGCGTCTGCAGGTGGCCGACCTGGACGCAGCCGTAGACAAGTGCGGCGAGAGGGCTGGTCTGGGCTGGGATCAGCTCCACCCCCGGCAGCTGCGCTGGCTGCCGAAGAGCTACAAGGAGCGTTTCCTGGACGTGCTGAGGTGCTGGGAGCTTTCGCCCGGCGAGAGCTCCCTTTGGCTCATGCTCATCGCTTTCTTGCCCAAGGCGGGGCCAGCAGGCGGATTGAGGCCCATCATCCTCAACTGCATCTGGCTGCGGCTGTGGTCGAGGATGCGCCAGCCGCTGGTCGCGGAGTGGGAGCGCAGGCTGGAGGGCAGCTTCTACTGGGGCGGCGCTGACAGGACGTGTGATCGCGCTGGTCACGTCCACAACTTGCTGGCCGCCTTCTGCGCCCAGCAGGACGGCATGGCGGCGGGCGCCGCGGCCCTCGACCTCAGCAAGTACTACGAGTACGTCTCCCACAACATCTTGCTGAGGGAAGCGCGGGCCACGCGCTTCCCGCTGCCGCTGCTGAAGGCTCTGTGCTGCGCCTACCGCCTGCCGAGGCGCGCGAGGTTCGCGGGCGCCCTCGGCATCACCATCCGCGCCAATGGCACGATTGCCGCAGGATGCTCCTGCGCGCTCGGGCTCGCGAAGCTGATGGTCCACACCCTCTTGGTGGAGCAAGCGCGGCGCTTCCCCTTGGTGCGGTCGCAGTCGCTGGTGGACGACCAGCTGCTGCAGGCGCTCGGCACCGTGGATCTTGTTGCCGCTCAGCTGCCCGCCGCCCTGGCCTTTGTGGTAGAAGGCTTGCAGGCCCGGAAATTGAAGGTCAACTGGGGCAAGACGGGTTGGCCCACGGCCGACAGTGCGCTCGCGGCCCGACTCGAGGCCGCTTGGGCCGGCGAGATCGAGCAGAGCCGAGGGTTGCGATGCCTCGGCGGTGACGGCTCTGACGGCGTCAGGAGGTCCGTCGTCGAGCAGGACAAACGCCTGGCTAAGGCGCGGGTTGCTGCCCAGCGTGTCCATGTTCTTCGGGAAGCCGGCGCAGCCGTGGAGCGCATCCACCGCGGATCCCCCACCGCCACTGCGATTTGGGGCTCGGCCGTCACGGGGCTGGCCGACAACAAGCTCCATGGGCTACGGGTCGGCGCCCTTCGTTCGGAAGGTCGACTTCCCGCAGGTGCCAACGTAGGACTGAGGCTCCGATCGATGTACAAAGCCTTCTGGAGGGACCCCGCGGTCGTCCACGTTGGGGAGGTCATGCATGCTTGGGCCATGTGTGTCGAGACCTCCCTTCCAGCCCTCTCGGTCTTGGAAGCGGTGCTTGAGCAGTCTCGCGGCATTCTGAAGTCCAGGGCCCCCTGGAGTCAGTGCAGCAACCCTGCCCAGGCCCTCCACCTCGCGCTTGCCAGAATAGGGGCCAGCAGGAGGTCACCATGCACACATATGGCAATATCCCTGACTGGGACCGCGTCACCAAGTGCCCCCGCACTTCGCGCATCGATTATATCATCGCCAACCAAGCGGCGCGATCCCTTGTCACCGACTTCTGCTATCTGCGCGACTTGCCAGCGAAGTCCCATGTTGGCCTGCAGGTCACGCTCGACCTCAGTCGCCTCGACCATACGGCCCGACGCCTTCTTGCCCCCACGCCCTACCCCCCTAACGATGGAGCTCATGAGGGCCACGAACTGCAGGCATTAGGGACCCTCATCGCAGGGCGATACCAGGACCGCATGGAGCAGGCCGACACACGCGACGATGTGGAACGCATGTTCGCCCTGGCTAACGAGGCCAGCCATGAATACCATCTCACCCGTCTGCGCGACCTGCCACCTCCACCGCCAGACCACCCAAAAAAGAAGCCCCCCACCATGCACGGGCTCACGCCCACGTTCGAGGAGCGACCCGTTGTCCCCCGCGCCTTTCCCACCTACGGAGCTTCCACGATACACATGAATCGCCTGCGCAAGCTCCATCGGCAACTTTGTGAGCTTCGCTTCATCGGACAGCACCATCATTTAGACTGCCGTGCCATCCCGCCGTACCTGGCGCAGCGCATCGACTGCACGTGGACCGCGGCCCGCCTCCTCTGCCACAGGCTGCGCCCCACGGTTCTCCTGGCCTTTCCCGAGGCCTGGACCCCCGACGAACCAGCACCTCACGGAGAGCACCTTGACTGTCTGATCCAAAACCTCGACTCAGAGCTGGCGCGACGTGCAAACCGTGCCAAAGCTGAACGCATCAAGATATGGGCTGAGGGCGTCCGCGAGCCAAGCGGGCGAAAGGCGGCCATATACGCACGGGCTGCTGACAGCTCGCCCACGGCGTATCTCCGCACGCCTACCACACCTGACGATACACAACTCCACTGCGACACCAACGCCTTCAAACCTGACAAAGCTAGCACGGACGATAGTGACGCCGACACCGAAGCTGGCGGCTTCAGCCCCAGCGACGGTAGTTCGCCCGACACGGACAACGACGAAGACCACACTTGTGAACCACCACCTGCACAGGTCCCCGACACCCTCCCTGCCAACGCCATTGTTGCTAATACCAAAGACATGCTTAAGCTCATGGTCGACACCTGGGAGCCCATCTTGGGCAGGTACCGCGCCCGTGCAGGGCATGACGCCGAAGCCATGCCGACGTGGGCTGACTTCTACGACGAGTACCGACAAGAGCTGCCTACGCCATCACCAGCTGCCCCTTTCCACCTCACCGACGATCAACTCATCCACTTCATTCGCACCCGTTCACCGCGCCGTGCGGGGGGACTTGACGGCTGGACAACTAAGGAGGCTAAGGAGTTACCCGACGACATCCTTCGCCTCTTCGCCAGCGTCTTACGCGCTATGCAACGCACTGGCACCATCCCAGAACCCCTCCTTCACGTGCCAAACCCGTGCCTCCGAAAAGGCCGAGGGGAACTCCCGACGGACCAACGACTTCTCTCGGTGCTTTCCGTTTGGATGTACGCGTGGGAAGCGCCAGCTTACCGCAGCCTCACGGACTGGCGGAAAGGATGGACCCACGCCACGAGCTTTGGCGCTGTTCCCAAAGCTACCATTGGGGACGTCAGCACCTCTCTCGCCCTGCGCATCGAGCACGCCAGGGCTTTACTCCTGCCCTTAGCTGGGGCTGCCCTTGACCGACAGAAGTGCTTCGACTACCTCATCACGGACATCTGCCTTAACCTTGCGCTTCACGCGGGGTGCCCCCAAGACATCGTTACTGTCCGCAGAAACTTCTACAGTCGCCACAAACGCTACATCCGCATGAACGGAGCGTACTCTAAGGACTTGGCCAGGACCAACGGTCACCTCCAGGGAAGCTCGTGGTCCCTGGACGACATCAAGCTGCTCATGTGTGTGTGGACGAAGAGACAGCATCGATACGTTCCTCGATCACTCAGCACTACCTTTGTTGACGACAGCAACTCCACTACCCACACCGCGTCTGAGCTGCAGAAATCTCTTGACGAAACCGCCAAGTTCGACCGATTCTCAGGTCAACGCATTCACCCTGGCAAAGTGGCGGGGTGGGCGCTCACCGACGAGCTTCACGCCGCCGTTACCCAGCTCACTCTGGCGGAACGGCCCTTACGCGTGGTCGACTCCTTCAAGCTCGTCGGGAGCTACATCAACGCCGAGGCAGCGCCGGCTCCAGCCGCGCTTAACCTCACGGCCACCGCTGACGCCCGTGTACGGAGGGCGACTAGTCGCCTGCCGCGCATTGGCAAGCTCCCATCGCCGATGCTTATCAAGGCGCGGCACGCCCGTTCCCTTGCTGCCAGCGTCTGTACCACGGGCACCGACATTCAAGCACCATCAGGCCCAGCCAAAACTGCCTACAACCACGCCCTCAAGGCGGCTATCCGCCCCAAGGGGAACAAGTGGGTCGAGTTCTGGACTCTCATGGCCGTGTGCGTCCCAGGACACGCCCTGGAGATTGACGCCATCACGCAGCGTGAAGCTTTCCTGTGCCTGCGGCGACAGGTTAACCGCGACGTTACACTCTGCGGTCTCGCCAGAGATCTCCAACACCACGTCCAGACCCTGTTTGGTGGAGGACCTGTCGGACGACTCGTCCAGTCGCTCCAGCAGCTCCGTTGGACCTGGCCCACATTTGGCATCATGTACGACGACTGGGGCTGCCAGATCAGCTGGCTGAACTTACCCCAAAACGCCTTCCTTCACATGCTGCGGGCCTCACAACGCAGAGCCTTTCTGAGGAGGATCAAGCCACGGCGTCACGACCTTGGATACCTTGCCTCTGTCAGACAGGGCCTCGACCTCTTCGCCAGCACGTGGCTCGCCCGAACGAAAGGAGCAGCCAAATGCACTGCCTGGCAGCTGGCGCTCCTCCTGAACTACCTGTCGGGCGGGGACCACACCCAACAGCGACGATCCCGATCAAACACGTCAGCTGACCCCAGCCCCATCTGCCGATACTGCGACGAGGAAGAGGAAACTCAGGAGCACACTGTCCGCGACTGCAAGTGCTGGGCCCGAGAAAGACTCCCTCTCACCACCCTCATCAGTGACGAGCAGT